AGATGGTTAAGCGTGATTCATCACTCCAGAGAACGTGTTTCCACTGCTTCAGTCCAATGGTGGCGAGCTTTATACCACTCCGGACGACGCTTGGCATTGCATATGGAGATCTTAGGCTTGTGTGCAGCTGCTCGGCCATGGAAGCCCATTTCATGAAGCTCCCGACGAACAGTTCTTGTGCTGATGCTGCTTCCAGAGGCAGTTTGGAACTCGGTAGTAAGTGTTGCAACCGAGGACAGACGATTTTTACACGCCACGCATTTCAGCACTCGGTGGTCCCATTCTGTGAGCTTGTGTGGCCTACCACTTTGCGGCTGAGCCGTTGCTCCTAGACAATAACAGCACTTGACCGGGGCAGCTCTAGCAGGACAGAAAATTGATTAACTGACTTGTTGGAAAGGTGGCATCCTATGAAGATGCCATGTTGAAAGTCAATGAGCTCTTCAGTAAGGACATTCTACTGCCAATGTTTGTCTATAGAGATTGCATGGTTGTGTGCTCAATTTTATACACCTGTCAGCAACGGGTGTGGCTGAAATAGCCAAATCCACTCATTTGAAGGGGTGTCCACATACCGATATTGGTACCACAATAGAATTTCCTATCCGAAGACAGCTTAAGGTATCAAAGCTCTGTTTATTTCCTGTTTATCAGAATGTCTGCCATTTGTTGCCAGCTTGGGATCGAAGAAAAAGTTCAAACTTGGGTCATACTCCTGGAAATCATCCGTTATTCACATCTACACTATTTCAATTTCTCCCTGTTTGTGACTCACCTTGGCAGCAGTTCGTCCTTCATGTCTGAAACCAAAATAATTCCACTATTCAATAGAACTCACCTGTAGTTTGTCAGAATTAATGAAGGATTTGTTCATCTCATCAGGCCATGACAAATAACATCTACTATAGATAGGAACTTACCTGCCACTGGGCACAGACATTATTTCAACATCTAGTTTTGATTTACATTTGGTTGAGTTGTCAACTAATGTGAATTAAACTTGAAATCAACAAAACATTTCACCATGTCATTGTATTTAGGTTAAAAGTTGGATGCAAAAATTGAAATTCCCTTACTTTGACGACTTTTTGCAAATCCAATTAGTTTCCCACGTGGATTCAACATCATTGCATTACTTTTTTTGTTGTTGAAATGAACGAGGAAACAACGTTGATTCAACCAGTTTTTGCCCAGTGGGCAGCCACATACTGCACAATGTATTGTCTGTGCCTTTACAAACCTCTGAGACAATGAGGACTAGTTAGATAGCAGGTGCCTGGGAGACTGCTGTTGAATAGGGGGACTTGCTCTCAGCCATGACGGCGTGACTAACCAGCCAGTGCTTACAGCCACCCAGTGGTAATCAGCCTATCCCTTATTCCACCTAGCAGCTTGTTGTCTCTGACCATAGGCTAAGTCATATTTAATCACTTGTCACTCCTGTTTATTGCTTTGGAGAGCTGATCGCAAATTTAATCACAACCATAGACTTAATGGGCATCTTTATAACTAATCTTAATGAGGCCCAGGGAAATCAATGGCATTTGGTACAGGCAGCTAGCTGGGCTAATGAAGCACTCTGCTAATGAAGGACAGGGGCACCCACTTGACCGACCCCCTAGCACAGAATGATTGTCACAGTCACTTTGCCTCAGGAACCATTTCTGCTAATGCCAACATTAGGAGGGCAATATACAAACCAACTTCAACAAAAATTCACCAATACTGGATTTTTAGGTAGGAGGGAGACTAGCTCAGTTTTTACCCGATGCACGTTGAGAACCCTACAAGCAGCAGTGAAAGGTTCAGGGCCTGATGACCTGGTTAGCAGAACTCTTTGATATTCAACATTAAGATAATGAGACATAAAACACAACCGTTTTAGTTGTTGGGTACTTCTGCCAGCTAGTGGCCATCAGTCATAATGTAATACTTACATTTATAAACCTGCTAACTGAAAGCCTCACTACATTTGCAGCCCTGACAATGGGAGAGAACGAGAAATGTACTGGTTCTACTTACATGTTGCTGTCCTTTTCACCAATATTCACATTTATTGTGCATCCCTCATTCCAACCAGTTTGCTGTAATACTCCCTCATTAGTCTCATCCCAGCTCTTGGTGAAATCCACAACAGATCTGTAAAACTCCTCCAGAGACAGAGTAGGGGCAACAACGTCAAATTCACTCTCATCGCCACCAATAGTGAAGATTACAGGCTCAAACTTTCCAATGGTGTGGTAACCATAAGCTCCAAGGCGCTCCAAGGTAGTTAGTGGACAGCATAACCTTGGGATGGGCCCTTAACAGGTACTAACAGTAGGGCCAGCTGAGCCTGTGACTGGCGTAGGGCAGGGACGTCGCTCCCTGAAGTAGTTTGTTCGTAACACTCACAAACTACCCGCTACCCAAAGAAAAAGCAACAAAGAAAGTCTTAGCAACAATGGTTTATATGCAATTATATTAATAACAAAAATTAAAACGTACGGTTACTTGCGTAACCCAGGTTCTCTGATATTATGAGTGAGATATCTCACGTGGGATTCACCCCAATCTCAGAAGCTCAAAGAACCAATTACACATGTCTGTCGGAGGTGAGCCCCTCCCTTCATTATAAGGACCAATTGCCCGCCTCTGATCATTCTCAACCATGCTGAACTTCCTCACACCTCTTGCGAGTAGGGGTATGCAGTGAGCTATCTCACTCATATCAGATAACCTAGGTTACGTAAGTAACCTTGAGTTCTCTTTCAATGATTTGTTTTCGATATCTCACGTGGGATAGAGCCAACTCCCTTACCGCAAACATGCTCTCCGAAGCCAGGTAGTCTCAACAATCAATCCTCAGAGGCCCGACACTGAGGACAGTATGCGCCAAAGAAGGTGCAGTGATGTCAAGCCAGTAGAACCTCATAAAAGTATGAGGGGATGCCACAGGAGGTTAGTGGAACCTTGGGGAGGACAGGCTCACAGTAATGGCTGGAATGGAATGGTAATCAAACTAATCAAACACATGGTGTTCCATTCACTCCATTCCAGCCACTTATGAGCCATCCTCCCTTCAGCAGCCTCCTGTGGGGGATGCCCGACAAGCTGCATCGCAAA